CTGTATCATCTTGAGCATGCAGTGCTTCAAGAACTAGAAAAAAAAGTAACAGTATCTCAATATCAGCTCACGTATTACCGACATCGCTTCCAGTTACCCTTTAAAAAACTTGTTCTTTGCACACCACCTGATTTCTGTTGTTGATCGGCTTTCTCTTCGTTAGTTGAACTTTGTGACATTGAATCTAAATCGAGAATAATACTTTCATGAAAAATGAGAAATAGCAAATGAATCTGTAACAGTAATAATATCGTACTATTCTTCAGAGTGCACAAATTTGTCTATGAATAAAGGTATCAGATGCATTTAGAGTAACAGAGTAGAGGACATCCGTCTGTTCTAAGACCTCTCAAATTTGATAGTGCTGTTATTTTGGAGATGAACGCTTGTATTTTTATTCCACTGATGAGGTTGGGTATGGAAAACCTAAAATTCAACCGCTTTTTATTTTTTTGATTGTATATATATATACATAGTTGGATAGAGTATATACATGGTTGGATAGAGTATATACATGGTTGGATAGAGTATATACATGGTTGGATAGAGCTCGTCGAGCTGATTCCAAGTATGTATGTTTCGATTCTCTAAAGAAACTTTTTGAGGATCAAAATTCGAAAAAACTGGAAAATCTCGAAAAACCCCCTTGATTTAAGAAATCAGCGTATATCTTTCAAATAGTGAGAGTGGGAGCTTTAAGAGTTTTTTCTTATTCTGCGTTAAAAACGGAATCTTAAAAACATAGTTACAATTATTTTCTAATACCTGATGACCGTGAAAACTTTTAGTCTTTCGATCATAGTGGAAACCATCATCGCTGGCTACAAAACGAATCAGTGGTGTGCAAAGAACAAGTTTTTTTAAAGGGTAACTGGAAGCGATGTCGGTAATACGTGAGCTGATATTGATAAACTGTTACTTTTTTTTCTAGTTCTTGAAACACTGCATGCTCAAGATGATACAGATAAGCTACAGACGAAAGAAATTCAGCCTACGAGTAGTTCAAATAATACAACGAAAATTGGTTACGGGACTGAAATAAGTACGTGTTAGAAATGAATGATATGAGTATGTCATCTTTCCTTTTCTTGTTTAAATAGAGAAACAATGGAACCGCAAATTTCGCTATACGTGTCCATTTACATCTCGTCATAGTATCGCTACTGTTGAAGAAACATACGGTGTTCGAGTGGACGAGAACATGAAATTATGTGATGGACCGTACATTATTTTGCTTACACATTTGCTCAAAGTTCATAAAATGCCACGCCCATATGCCACTCAATTGGTCGATGCTATTCAGACGATGCAAATTGAACAACTGGAGTTGGAGAGTTTAGAAGAAGAAATGAAAGATTTAATTTAATGTGACAGACAGACAAACGTGAACATTGTTTAGTTTCTTTCGATTGTAAAATTTTTGTCCATTTATAGACTTGAAATAAAACTCCTTTGCTATCTATTATTCTGGTGCACAACTGTCGAACTGTTAGAGAAAAGGGAAATATTTCTAGATATATCGGATGATTTCTATTCAGCGTGATTTTAAGCATACTCTCCCCAAACGGTTTAGAACAACAGGGCATACAGCAATGTGAATTTTGCTCAGCGGCGTGGCTGGTAACGGTCGCCTTCGTGTCCGACGGTCCAAAATTTTTTTTCCTCTAGCTAAGTCGCAAAGCACATCATTAGGCACAGTTTTTGCTGATTACGAATATCAACTTTAAATTTCGAAAAACCTAAATTTTAAAGGTAAAAATTTAAATTTTAAATTGTTAAACTCTTTAATTTCAATTTTCTGACCTAGACACTTTCTTTGAAAAACTTCATACTTATGTCACTCGGTAGTGAATTCAATTCTCTACAAAATGGCTCCTTCTGTTTTGACTTTTCATGTTTTGAAAAAGTTTTATCAATGAAATGTTTTCCTGGAAAACCAGTTTTCGAAAACGATTTTTCTTCATGATAAACTGATTTCTTAATTTTATCTTACAGTGCATCGGAAAGAGCGTATCGAAAACTATGTATTTCTATTAAGAATATATTTTTCTGAGCACCTTTGCTGGTAAGTTTAGCCTTCTGATTTGAAACAGATGGAATTTTGTAACGACGGGTATATTGAGATTTTTATTCGCTACGTGGACCAATTTTAAAAAATACATAGATGCTCTGAAAGCTGGCTAAAAACTGCAAAACATTTGTCTAAACGAGTTCTTTCTATCATTCTCCAGTCCACAGGAAAACGAAGAAGTTTAAATGTACTGAAAACAATTCCATTGTTTGTCCCTCCGTAACGGCCTCTATTTTGCTAATAACTTTCGATGAGCTCACCCAAAACCTTTAAACATTTTTGATACTATAACCCGAGGTCGTCTGTCCGCGGGAAAAATCTCCTAACTCTGTCTCTTACCATAACCGAGATATAACACGTAAACGACGAGAAAAAGGAATTCTGTAACGCTTGGTCACGACGAGAGAGAGAGCGGATCTTAACGACCAATTCATAGACATATCTAAGTTATGGATAATGCAACAGTGAAAATTAGACTAATGTGCATCCCCGTCTTTTTGAAAAGGTTTTGCTGTGCGAACGTTTTACCAGGGATCGTTGAGCTAAAACTGTGTTTATATTTTTTATTTTAACAATGCCGATCCGCTGGTTGAACGAGAAAAAGCTGAAATATGGTGGGAAACACAGTGAATTTTATAATATGCTGTATATATAAACAAATTCTCCGGACGGACGTAATATTCCAAGAAGCAAAAGAGAGTGAGTACAGCTTTGTTTTTGTCTGTTTTTCCAAGAAATGTCAGCTTTTCAGGGCAGAATCTTTTAAAACAAAGAAAAACTTTCTAATTTAATGAACTATTTTACATAATTAAAAAAAAAATAACTTTTGGTAGAACCCGTTGTAAAGGCCGATACGTCGAGCATACGGGTAATTAATTTTGGAGAGTATTATCCTTAAATCCACAGCAGACTTTAGAAAAAATGTCGGATTCTCTAGTGACTTTTAAGATTGATTATACAGAAACAATAGTTCATAACAGTATCAAGAATCCGGAAATCTCTAGAAGGTCTCTGAAGAACTTTCACTATCGCTGCATTATTGAAAATAATTCAAAATCTCTCTCTAATAATAGGCCGTCTTTTTTCTAGATATAGGAATCTGGATCTGAATTATCAGCAGTTTATTGCACTAATACTTCTGTTTCCTTTATCCAAAAAAATACATAATGGGATCTTGATCATCGATGGCAAACATCCTAGGCATTCGTCTGTCGTCATTCAAAAAACATTTGACGTTGTTCTATTTTAAAATATAGTGTGAATCAACTGATTTCAATAGTTGATTTTATTGCTAACAGTTTGAATGAGGAAAATCCGGTACTAGCAGCGTTTTTGGATTCCAGTAAGGCATTCGACAAGGTTTCACATAGTGGACTACTGATTAAGCTTCGCAGTAAGGGATTACCTAATTCGCTGGTTCGATGGTTTGACAGCTATCTATCGTTCAGACGCATTGTGACTATGCTTGACGGAAATACATCGGATGAGCTATTTGTGACGTGCGGAGTTCCCCAGGGCTCTGTATTAGAACCATTGCTTTTTCTAATCTACATTGATGATCTACCTATATCGGTTACATCAACTTGTAAATTATTTGCAGATGACGTGTCTTTATAGATAACCGCAACTGACATCACAACTGCTGTTATGAATAAAGTTATGAATCAAGATCTTGCTGAAATCGCTGCATGGTCGGTGAAATGGGCGCTATTTTTAAATGTGAAAAAGTGTGCAGGAATGTTGTTTACGCTAGATCCGTTGGCGACAGCTCCACCATTAGTTATTAACAACATCCAGTTAGATTATGTCGATAAGCACACTCATTTAGGGCTAATACTGACACTCAATTTGAGTTGGAAAGAACATATAAATAGCATTATAGTAACCCAAGCACGAAAAAGAATCATGAAGCGGGCGCTGCATCTAGATTAAAAGGTACATTTATCTAGCTTCAGCTAGATGCAGTGAAATACATGAAAATTTGAT